GGCCGCGGTGTGACGTGGAGAGCGGCGCGCGATCTCCTCGCCGGCGCGGTCTGCGCGCGTGACTCGGCCGTGTCGTCCGCAGTGTGCACCGGCGACCCGGTGAACGTGACCGGTCTGCGCACCATAGTCAGCGACTGGGCCGGCAACTGGTCGATGGGCAACATCGTCACCTACACATGCCAGGCGAACCTGAGCACGGCCGCCGGCCAGACGCTGCAGCACGTCAACTGCACCCAGGACGGATGGGTCGGCGACATCCAGCCTGTGACAGTAAGCCACTATCCAGCTCACCGAGACCCTGGGTCCTGTTGGCTCCTCAACCAGGAATGGAGTTGCTTCGTGTTGGCTCACTCAACACTCGCCTAGGGTTTTTTGTGCATACTGTTCATTGCCCACCGAAGCGTATCGGCGTTGCTTGACTTCCGTCACTACGAATATTTCGTGAGCCTGTGGAATATCTTAGAAACCGCCTCGAAAATAAAACTGTGCGCATGTTCACGCAGTGATGTCTGCTCCACGACATCCGGTGTGGCCGGATGCTTATTCGCCCCTCGTAGTGGCGACTGTGCCCTGCTGAGGGGAGCCGGGCCCGCCGAGTGACCAGCGGGCCCGGCGGCGGCACCCCCGCCTCACTGCTCCCCCCTGTCGACAGCGTGTCCGCCGCCGCCGTCGGGTAACCACACCAGCGTGCGCCACGCGCACCCGCAACGGAACATGGCCAACCGGCTGGGCTCGGTGGTCACTTACCACTGCCACGACGGCCTGAGCACGGCTGACGGCCAAACCCATATTCGGGCGGTGTGCGAGGGGCGGCTGGTCCGTCTGCGAGGCCGAGATCGAGTGCAACTGTGAGTGGGCTGCGGCGGGGGTGGTGATGTGTCGCCCGCTGCCCGTCTGCCGAGCGCGCGCTGCTGGCGCGGGATGTCGCGCAGCTGGAGGGCTTGGCCACCGCCGGCGAGGCTCGTGCCTGCGGGGAGAATCTCCGCTTTAGGGGGATTATCGTGCGATGGACGCGCGACGGACATCGTCGTTTAAGCGCCGTGTGGCATCGGTGGATGTGCAGGACAAGCCAGGTCTCGTCTGAAAGTCTGGAATGTCCCACGTCCTCGTCTTTATGACATCCGCGTCCGTCTCTGTCCGCCACCGACGATGTGGCCCGGCGCAGCTGTCGGGTTTGTGGTGCAGTTTGGCGGTCCGGGGGCTGCGGCCGGCTGCTAGAAGCGGCCGTGGTGGCGCCGCTCGGTCAGCGGGCGTGGCTGACCCGCTCCCTCCCTCGCGCCGGCAGTCTGCTCGCCACTGCCGAGCGTCTCTCGGTTCGGCGGCACGCTCACCTGGGACTACGTCGGCGACGACCAGCTCGGCTCGACGGCGACGCTGACGTGCGCCACTGGCCTGGCCACCCCGCGGCTGGAGACGGTGCAGACGCTGGTTTGCGGCCTGGGCGGCTGGAACGTCTCGGCAGCGCTGCCCTGCTCCAGTCAGTCGAACAGTGCCCGCCGCATTGTCCTCCAAACGGTGCCGGCTGGCCGTACGGCCGCTTTTTTGAGGACATTACGCTTTCGATCCCATAAAACTGGCGTTCCTTGCCAGTCCTGTGCCTTGTGGGGGAACTGTTGAGACTATCGGACACTGCCGACGCTTTGTCGGACACACTGTGTGACGTTTTGTCGGGCACATTGCAGTACGGTGATTTGTACTGGTTGCATACATATTCGTCTTAACTTTTTCTGCTGTTTCAATGCCGGCAATGTGACTTGGTAGAGTCATGATGTCAGAGCCCAATGAAAATGCGCGACAGGTTTAAAAATATTTTTGAGGGTAACAGCGTGTCTATTGTGCATTCAAGTCAGGTGCATGGAATGAGGCCTGCTCGCGAGCATACCACCAACTGGGCTGTACATTCTCACAGTTGATGTTGCGCCCTTTACGTCAGATTGAAAGTAACGACTGAGCGTGAAATTGCTTGTTAATGGGCGAAATTCCAACAAACACCTCTGGAAATCACGGATGGCAAAAGTCGAAATAGATCTAGAAATATTTTGAAGATGTTGGTGCCATAATCACCCCTGAAACTCGAGCAATGCGGTCTCGGCGCAGACGAGATTCGCCCATTCTCTATTGCGCCGACGCCCCCATTCGTCACGCATGTGTTGCGGTCCGTCCTTGACGGGTGTCGCCGGCACTCCCGACAGTCTGCACCGACCCGCCACCGGCGGCGCCACCGTCGCTCAAGCCCAACATCACCTGGACGCTGGGTAATGAGAGCGCCATCTACGACTGTCTGGACGAGAAGTCGTTCAGCTGGGGCAGCGCCATTTCGAGCTGACCTGCTCACCCGAAGGCTGGGGCCTGCGTGCCCCACCTGTGACTGTGAGTCTTCTGCTTGTGTTGGCCGGCCGTCAGGGCGCGAGGCTTCAGGATTGGGAGGTGCGCCTCCGTGCGCACGGGGGCTCCTTCATCCGCGACGGCTGAGTCGCGGCGTAGCAGTAACTTATTTTCTGCCACCGTGTATCATTCCGGCGCCGCGTTGTTCGGCTGTGTATGTTGTGGGCAAACCTCGCCTGGTAAGTCTACGAAAAACGATCGTGAACTGTCAGGCTCGAAACCTGCCATCGTGAGTTCGTCGGCAGTTTTAAGGGGCATATTCGTGAGTCGTGGGATTACAAGTCTCAAGTCTGCCAGCGTCACGCTTGTAGCCGCCCCTCAGAGAATTTAGCGCGGTTGTGAGCTCCACTGCGACTACCCCTCGCGCCTGGTTATGCGTCTCGCAGCCAGGCCCCGGATGTGAGTTGCCATATCGTTCTAAAGCCGTGCCAGCCGCTTGTCCCTGGTACGTCCGCAAGTTTCCACATGTTTCTTCCCTGTTGAACTTCATGGTTCCATTGTTCCGGTAGCAGCGGTTCTCTGGAAACGATAAAACTGTGATGGCATTGTTGTCTCAACAAGAGACGAATGTAAAAGAAACGTACTCTTCAGCGGGCGCTGCCATCATGTAGGCTTTGTGACTATAGAAGCACCGCAAGCATGCCGCCGTCGCCGCAAACGTGACAGCGCGCTGCGTCGGCCGTGCGTTAACGGCCGTGCCGGCGCTGCCCAGACTGCCTGGAGCCGGCCAGAGGACCGGCAGGCACCTACCTGGAGACGTTCGGCTCGCTGCCGGGGACCACGGCCAAGCACGTGTGTGACCCGGGTCTGCAGACAGCCACCGGGCGCACGGTCCAGGAGCCCGTTTGCGGCGAGCCCGGCTGGGTCGGCGAGGTGCTGCCCTGTGATGGTGAGTCGTCCACGGCCCGCAGCAGCCCATGTGGGGTCGCTGTGAGCGCGCCCACTGCTACGGATGGTGTGGGCGTGATGTCGTGACCAGCACTACAGCATAGTGGTGAGTGAGTTGCTGTCGTGTGACGCCGCTGCTGTCCTTCCGTCGCTGCAGATGCCCTGATATAGCGAGGGCTCGTCCAAGTGCTTTGGGCTGCTATTTACCGACTCCGAGCGTCGATGTGCTGCGTTTGACATTCGTGCCCGGGCCAATCTCAAGATCGACCTTCGTGTTGAGCTCAAAGCCAGTGATCGCCTCGACGAACGGCATCTCTGGGGTCATGCGGGGGGCACCCGGCGTTTCGGTCGTCCTGTGCGAGACGGCCTCAGTAGCCGGCACGTGCCCCAGACAGGCGCCAGCGACGCTGATGGCAATCGTGCGCCGGCAGAGTGTGTGGGAACCCTGGCGGCCCCCGGGCCCCGGCCAGACCCGCAACGTGTCGGGCAGCAACTCGACCACCAGCAACTCGACGCTTGGCACGTTCGCCGAGTTCTTCTGCGTGAAGGGCAAGGAGACGCGCAGCAACGAAACCTACCAGACGCAGAAACTGCACGGCTGCGGGCTGGACGCCACCGCCCGAGCCTTGCGACCGTAAGGCTTGATCCGGTGCCGGCCCTGGCTCGGAGCCCCGCCAGGCCGGACCGGAGTCGGCCGCTCACTGCCTGCCGGCGGAATGCGTTGTGCTTGTGGATAGTAGGAGGGGTGTTCAGTGGTCTGTCGAGGGTACATGCTATCTTTGTTGGAGTTTTCAGTCGTGAGCACTGACACCTGCTGGTGTTTTGCGAACTCAGTTTTTTTACACTTGTGTAACCGGTAGCATCTGCCGATCCGTATCCGTCCACCTTTCTGAGACTTGCATGATTTTAACAACTCGTTCTCACAAATAAGTATTTACACATTTACCCATTTTGATCTTCATTATTTACGCATCAGCCGCCGTGTCGTCAACGTTCCCGTGGGATCTTAGTATGCGAACTGACGCCCACAGAAGGTGCTGCAGCAGCCGTGCCCTAAGTTGGCGGCTCGTGACCCCACGCGTTGTGACCTGTCGCCAGTGTGCGTGCGCCCACCGGAGCCGCACTTCCTGATGACGCGCGCATGGGACGGTAACCGGACCGTCAACAGCAGCGCCACCTACACCTGCGGCGACGACATGACCACCATGTCCAACAAGTCGGTCCAGGTGCTGGAGTGCACTGACGTCGGCTGGAGCGCCTGGCTGGAGCCCTGCGGTGAGTGCGGGTGACCCAGAGCTCCGGTCGTCGTCCGCACACGTTCGCCATGGTCACCTGGGGCGAAATGGCCAGGCTGACGCTCCTCAGGTGTGGGATATTCTGTCTCCTGCCCTATTCAGCTTACAGAACGGCATCAGGTCTCTGTCGTATACTGAATGTTCGGAAATCCGGAAAGGCTCTGGACAGCCCCTGCTTCAAGCGATGTCTCCAGCCAGGCGTCAAGATGATGTCACCATGTCAGCAAATTTCATTCTGTCCTCGTCGCCAGCCGCATGCAAAATGGACATCCCGTTTCCTGGCAACGGCACCATGGAGCGAAACGTGTCTTGGGACTTGGGCCGCTACCCGGGCGCCGTGATCAACTACACCTGCCCGAACGGCCTGGTGCAGCAGGTCTACTGCATTGACCGCAGCTGGGTGCCCTCGGAGATGCCAGCCTGCGGTGAGATTACCTGACCTGCGGCCGCTCTCTTGGCAAACGGCACCGTTGTATGCACAGAGTGCGGTTTTTAGATTGCCGCCAATATTGCCGCCGAACACGAATCTAAAAATGTTCTTTGGAGACGTCTTCAATTGTTTTACATCTCACCAGCTTTCAGCGTGCAGTTCAAGGTCTGGTTCCGATCTGTCGACGTGCCACGTTAATCTCCCCCCATGTGGCCAGCCAATGTTATATGATTTGCGCAGTGTTCCATTCGAACAGCACCCGCCCCGTACCGTTCGACACGCGTTTCTGCTCCTTGCGCCAGACCAAATATATGCCTTGTCCATTACCCCCACCGGAACCCGTACTCCTGCAGTATGCCGATGGCTGAGTGTGAGCAGTGTGGTGATGGTGCCGGCGAGTGAGTTTGGAGTGCAAGAGGTGCGGGCTGTGTCAGCATGTGAAGAAATGGTCATGGATAGTGTGCATGTATTTTATAAACGTTTTCAGACTAGGCAGATCAACACGTCCCGTGAGGAGCATGGAGTTGGGTAATGCACGAGTGTCTGATCGTATATGTCATGACACATACCTATAGATATGATAAACGATCACGTACGTGCAGTGTGATGACAGTTTCCGTCGAGTCATCCAGCTTTCTAATGTCTATGCAGAAACTCACACTTATGTCATGAACTTTTGTATTGAAAATCGTATCCAGTGCCGAAGCATCACATTGCTGTCAAGTGTCACTTGATTAAGCAAATGTAAAGGCTGCGATAGTGTAAATTGGTAGGGTATTTGCCGAGTGTCATCCAGCCCTGTAATGAACATTGATACATTCCCAATATCTGCTTTGAGGGTGAACCCACTACGCAGCAACCAGTCCGACAAGAGTGCGGTGGATATCTGCCGACTGGTCGGTGGAGTCGGGACTTATGGCCATCCACTGACCTGTGGCCACCCTCCGACCTGTAGCCATCCACTGACCTGCGGCCGTCCTCTGACCTGTGGCCATCCTCTGACCTGTGGCCATCGTCTGACCTGTGGTCATCCTCTGACCTGTAGCCATCCACTGACCTGCAGCCGTCCTCTGACCTGTGGCCATCCTCTGACCTGTGGCCATCCTCTGACCTGTGGCCATCTTCTGACCTATGTTCATCCCCTAGCTTGTGGCCATCCACTGACCTGTGGCCGCCCTCTGACCTGTGGCCATCCACTGACCTATGACCGTCTTCTGGCCTGAGGTCATCGACTGGCTGTCCGTCGGAGAGGCCTGCAGATCAGCCACCTGACGCGACCTTCCAGCTGCCTTTCAGAGAAAGCAGAGGCCCCACAAGAGGCCACAAATAGACCCACAAGCAGCACGGGGCGCTGGGAGACTTCCCCCTTCCTCCAACGATGATTCAGCATTGTGTGCCCAGCACCTTTTGATGTGTCTAAATAGGGAAGTACCGTCTGTCGACTGAAGTGCAGCCAGACCAGTGCAGTGCACAGTGTTACGCGCGCAATAGGCGGCGACCAGGTAGTGAATCAAGGTCGCCGCAGGGCACACGCCGGCCAAAGCACCGTGACCGGAAGAGGTCCGCTTGCTAAGACGCCTGTTGACGTGCGGGCCTACCGTTCGTGAGCAAGCAAAGGCCATGAGCCTCGTGTGTCGCTGTGTGATTTTACAGATTGCGCTGTACTGTACAGGTAGAATGCAATGTATATCAAGCGGTTCCACGTGACTCTTCCATTTCAATTACGTGTTACTGGTGTATAGTGTATAGCGTTTCGACGGCCGCCTACAATGCCCTGGCTTTCAACAGCCAGACATGAGCATGTCAGGCGCCCTTTTATCATTTTCTCATACTTATCACTCATGATTGGTATCATCAGCCGTCTACTACGCCATCTATTTCCTCAGAGGCTTGTCATTACTGTTATTATGTTAATAAATCGCATGTGCAACGAACGGCCGTGCACAGCTTGTCGCATTGCTTGTACCTCACTCATAGCTTTAATAACTATGGTTTATATGGTTTATAAGCGCATTGGGTGCGAAACCATCCCGCAAATTGCGTGTCTGCCAATCTGCCAAGTGAATTGACTATGAATGAATCCTACAAGTGCCAAAAAACGGAAGTCGGTGCCTGGATCTGGCCCGGTGCACGCGTCATATCGAGGACAGTGTTCGTTCATCTTAGGTGGCGACGTACCGTTGACATTGGAATGGCGCTTAACACGCACTCGGTGCTGCGCATGCCGACGCAGTGAATGTCAAGGCCCTGCTGTTCCTGATATTTCTTCTCTCTGGGTGTTCTCGAAACGGCGAGAACTGAGAATATCCAAGACGTGACACAGGTTCTTAGGCGTGTTTAAAATGCGGGCGAGTATGAAATACCGCGTAAATACGCCGGTGGATTCAAAATCGTTGGTCACCATTGCTTATATGCATTTAGACGTTGCCAACGCAGCGCCAGTTAAGGCATGGTCTATGATGAAGTTTCTCATTCAGATGGAGGGCGCCCAGCCCCTCTCACCTCCCCCAAGTCCGAGAGGAAAGTGGGCCAAACTCAGAGAGATCCCGTTTGTTGGCTACTTTGGGCAAGGATCTCGTCATTCTCCACCGCTGAGTTTCACCTGCCAACTTTTTTGCGAAGCTACGCCCCTACGTTAAGCTATTAAGAACATACTTCAAACAACACATCACTCAGAACATATGCATTTATTCGTCATTACCACATTGTTGCAAAGTCCTCATTACCACGTCGGCGCGTCACGGGTACGATTTCTTTCTATGCTTCGATTTGCTTCGCATGCCAGCAATCTATACCAGGCCGGAATTTCCCGAACCATCGAGATGGCATCAAGCGAACAATTCGCGTGCCAATTCCTTCAATACCCTGCAATACACTATCACGAAACGCGGCGCCAATCACGACACCCGGTACTGGCGAGAGAAGACGTCACATTGCTTTCATAACTAGCGCCGCCAGTCACGCCACGGAAGTGACCCGCCGAAAACGGCCGCAGGCGCCTACCACTTCGCTGGCCACCACAGTTTGCATCGAACCACGTGCCCCAAATCACTCAAACAAGTGTCACTATGCGCCATCCGCGCCAGGATCATCTAAGCTTACACAAGCCACCTTTTGCACTGACTCTCTCAAAACTGAGCCGCTCGCCAACCAACCTAGGCGTCACTTACTTGTCGGGCCCGGCCGACTGTACGGCCGCGCTCAGCCGGTCCTCTTCCGCCTTCTGCGCGCGCAGCTGGCGGTGCCGCTCGATCGTGCGCCTCTCGACCGATTCGCCGGCCTTGGCGCGCTCCTTGCCCGTATAGACCATGCCGATCGCGGCCAGCACGGTGAGCGCGATCATCAGCAGGTTGATGCGGATGCGGAATCGGTTGCGCGACTGCACCACCGTCTGGTACGGCAGCATGGCCGGAACGTCGTCCACCGACTTGTAGCGCTTGTCCCAGACCAGTGTCTTCTTGTCCAGGTAGTGCACTCGGACCATCTTCTGACTTGTATCTGTAGCAAAGACTACAGGTCGGAATCTGGGTTGCTTTTAAGATTAAGATGAAATGGCTATCCTGTGGTCAGGTTGTGTCCAATCTAACACATTATACCAATAAGAATTTGCATGGAATTCATGGGATTTGCATGCACTAAGATCAGGAAACACTCATTCAGCACCCTTTTTCATGTGTCCTCTGCTGGTGATGGATTTTTGGTATGGCTTTGGAGAGCACACAATTGCCAGCCAGATTGTAAGTAAAATACTGAAACTAGTAACTGTGAAATTTCTTTGCAGACATTTAGAATTTCAGATGGACCATTTATTCCTTCTAAAATAACACTAATGCCTTTGAAAAATGTCATGTTGCCAGCCATATCACAATTTAGACTAGATGAGAGCAAGCTCTTGAGCAAAGAGATTAAGAACAATTCTCATGAAGAAAGCCAAATGGAACACCATGTTTCAACACTGCCCCAGCAAAACACTGTTATACAATGCATTCATCATATCTTGTCACAGAAAACCGTAGTCAGTTATGCAAATTGCAAAACATTGTGAAGGGATATGAAACCACTGGATGGGAGCTAGGTTTGAACCCAGCCTCAAATCAGGCCAGTTTTGTCAGGCAGATGCTCTCCCTACGGAACTGCAATGATGCTCTAACCTTAATTTAACAGGACTTGAATTGTGTCATCATTACGAGCTTGTGTTTCTTGTTTGAAGGGATGGAACCCACCAAATTTTTACATGTTTCCAGAACACACTAATGGTTTTCACAAAAAGGTATTTTTCAAAACCAAATATGTTTATGTTACACAGTCAATGTCTAATGTCATGATGCCATGGACCTCACCTAGATCAGCTGTTGGCAGAACATAAGTGATTATTCTACCAGGTTCGCCTCTGTCAAGACCAGTGGCCAGTGACTTTGAAGTCTGTGTGGGTTAAATCACTGTCATGGATGAAACCAAATCAGAACTGGCTTGTGCCAGTGCTGGTTGGTATTGCACCCAAGTGAAAATCCTGCCCACTTATAAAAACATATGTAAAAAATTGTACTAGTCTGCAAAAAAGCATGTTACCCAAACATGTCTTGCATACCAGCAGCATCCCTGCAATAATTTCAGCAAATTGGAGATGCATATAGTAAATCTGCGAGCCCCTAGTTTGGCACACATACACAACCAATTTCAGCACATGGTTTTTTCAGCATAATAGGCTTACCAAGAAATGACGGTGTTGCTTTGAAAGGTGTAGGTGTACTTTCCTACCTACCATTAGAAAAAAACATTGCACACCATTCGTCGTGTTTAAGGCGGCACATATCGTAACTAATCTCAAAACAGGTAGAATCATGCTCCTACCCTCGAACTTCAATAACTTCGATGGCGGCCTCCCGAACGCCGCGCGCACCGCACCGCCTGGACTCCCCAGCGCCGTTTCTGCGTTGCCGTTGCGTAAATACAATATTTCTGCGTACCAAGAACTCTACAAAACGTACGGGACCAAGGTAAACCATTCGTCGTGTTTAAGGCGGAACATATCGTAAATAATTTCAAAACAGATAGAATCATGCTCCTACCCTCGAATTTTAATAAATACGATAGCGAGCTCCCGAGCGCCGCACGCACCGCACCGCACCGCCTCGACTCCCAAGCGCCGTTTCTGCGTTGTTGCGAAACCTAACCTCATTTTGCTTGACATTCCCCACCCAATCCCCCTGCAACCCATGGTCCCGTTGGCGTTGAGGATCAAATTTCATGGATTCTTGTTACCTTGGCCCGGTACATTTTTATGGTTCTTGATGCTGCTTGATGCGCAGTAATGTTGTGACCCACGCAGTAATGGCGCCGGGGTCGCGGGTGCTGTGTGTGTGCGGCGCTCGGGAGCTCGCCATCATAATTATAAAAAATTGAAGGTAACATCATGAATCTACCTGTTTTGTGATTATTTATGATATGTCCTGCCTTAAACACGACGAATGGTTTACCTTGGTCCCGTACATTTTGTAGAGTTCTTGGTAAGCAGAAATATTGTATAAACGCAACGGCAACGCAGAAACGGCACTGGGGAGTCCAGGCGGTGCGGCGCGTGCGGCGCTCGGGAGCCCGCCATCAAAGTTATTGAAAGTCGAAAGTAGGAGCATGATTCTACCTGTTTTGAGATTATTTACGATATGTCCTGCCTTAAACACGACAAATGGTGTACAATGATTTTTTCTAACGTTAGGTAGGAAAGTACACCCTGACCCTTTGAAAGTGTCAGACAGAGGTATTTCCAAAACATATTTTTGACACAACTAAGCTGAAAATTAATCACACTTTAACCTGGTTAAAACTTGACACACTTATGTCTCAGGCCCAGTACACATACGTCACCTAACCATGTGTGAAAAAGGCGCATACTGTTACCAAAAACTAGGTAGTCCATCTCATTAAGAGGGCATCCCCCTTTTCCACAAGACACACCAATGTCATACCATGTGATGATGGCTCTGCAGAATCCTTTGATTCCTCATTTGGATTTGGTCCCTTTGTCAAATCCTTTGAATCTGCATTTATCGTAGGTGAAGAAGAAAACGTCCTCGCTTGCAGTGCATGCCGAAATGTTGAATTGACATCGATCTTCAGACCGTCGCGAAAGCATAGCCGAGCAGCATTAGAAGCAGTTGTAATAAACTGCAACCTCAGCATTTTCTCTTGTTAGACTGATGGTCTCGTGCACAACCTGTTCCCATACAAAGACACAGCTCAGGTTGCACCCAGGCAATCTTGGTGTAATTGGTCAAAGGCCGAGCGGAGATGATATAACAACGGGCACGTAATGATGCAATATCCAAAGCAGGTTAATAAAAACACGGGATTGTACATGAAGCCAGTGCATATTTTGTCAAAGCTGCGCAGTTTATGAAACCAGAGCAGGAGTGTTTTACAAGAAAACCTTTCACCGAAGTTTTTTATGCTCTAAATAAAGACCGTTTCTAAAACAGATAACGAACTGGAGATGCATTTGGACGGCCTAATTAATTATAATGTAATTTTATCACGAAAAAGGTGCCCATATACACACCTGAAAATACAGTCCTGACGCGGTAGTCATGGCCTCATGGATATTGTGCACAGTGGACCACCTGTAAGCACTCGGTACTCGATGTGTATTGGGCATTGGCGTCAGGTTGTGGGGCCGATGGGCGTGGAAGGTAGGTGGGGGGGGGGGGGGGGACGTTGTTCGTATTTCTGTGGAATTTGTTCATGACAAAGATGAAATGCGTAATCCTCCCAAATATATGCAAGCAATTGGCTAATTGGCAATTGGCTTGCAATTATGTTTGTTTTTGCTATTTTGCTAATTATACCACATTTGTTTTATTGTCTCCAGTACAGAGAATGAAATGTCAGTTTGCGTCGTCGGTTCCTGGTGGTATGGCTGGAAAGTATTTACCCATAAAAACCCTGATGTTAAGATGCACTCAATGTGTGGTACTTTTAAAAACTAAGTGTGGCGACCTGAGGATGGTAGCAACCTAAACATTTTTTTTCCAATTTTTCCAATTTTCCAAATCCAATTTGCATGCATGAGCATGCAATTTCAAAGCAAACTCTGGAATGCAATTCTGCTAGGGACCTCCCCATGCATAACTAAACCACTTTTGCACTGTAAGCCTTGCTCTTGTATTGTTATTTTCCCACCACAATATTTGTGCTATTGGACCAAGGAATGAAATTAATTCAATCATGTAGGCCATAGAAGGCTTTGATACATGTGGAACCTGTTGTTGGGTATGGGTAGTTTGTGTGGTAATCAAGCTGACTGAATATAGGCTTTAGAACTTCTGGTCCATGGGAAATTACATCTGGATTCATAATCACACTATGAAGCTAGATGGATTGCAGCCTACACAATTGAAGTTCCATCATGACATGTACAGACCATCCTTTTACTACTTCCATTTGCACTCTTAGCACACAAGCATGCATTGACTGTAATCATGGTTGTGTGATTCCTACTAAGTAATGTGAATAGCAGTAGGCTTGTGATTGCTACCTGTTTGTGTGGATGGGAATACTGGAGGGATGGTTGCTGCATGCCATGTTAGATTTTTGAGAGATTGCAGTTTTATGGAAATTCATAATGTGGCCATGTTACCAGGTGGAATTGGAAGAGCATTTTCATGGAAATTCAAGCCATTTCACACCCCACTTAGTATGGCTCAGTCACAGCAGCTCATTCATCAGTCACTTGGGTGGCAGGGATATCAATGCTTCATATTATGGCACCCAAAACTGGTGGTTCACTGCCTGTTGCCCATCCACTTGCTCAAGATTGGTCAATCAACATCAAACTGAATGGCAGTCAGCACAGCATCAGGTGCCTTAGCTGGGCGTATCAGCCAGGTTGGTCATGTCATTGTCTGTGGTTCAAAGAGTGAGGAATTAGCAGCCAACAAATTGGTGTGCTAACCATAGGAGAGCCAGAAGTTGCTCGCATGAATCTATATTTACCTTCTGCACACCCTTTTTGGAGAAACTTTGGAATGCCAGCTGGTTGTGACTACCTGCTGAGATTACCTGCCATAGCCAGTGCTGCCTGGAGTGAGAGTGTGTGAGGGTCCCAAAAGGTTGCTGCATAACTGTGGGCACATGGGAGTTGGTAGTGCGCTGCGCTCATCGGTCGGACATTGACAGGAGTAATGTACGTGAACAAGAACATCATGTCATTCAGATACTCCCAATCCAGTGAATTAGCATGTACTAAAGCATAGGGTAAAGTCAGCTTGTCAACTTTTTTAAGGACCTAGTCTCAGCATAGAACAGCACAACAGCTCCTGCATTTTAAGCATCAGTTAGGAGGCGCCGCCACCAAGCGCCGGCCGAACGCCAATCCTCCATGGCGGGGGAGCGGTTGGTGTTCCTCATTTTGTCGCGCGGCTCCCGCACAATTTGTTTCACATGCCACAGGTTTTCACGTTTTTAAGCTATTTGGCGTAAAAGGCATTTCTGGTCTGCACCGATGTCAGGAGGCCCTATGCTAGAGGTCAGGGGCATGTTGCTTGATATCCTACCATGGCGACGCTTCAAGTGAACTGTTACTTGACATTGCGTGAAGACGGGCCCACGTAACATTGACCATTGGGTATCGGTCTGCTCTATCGTGTTTAATCCTCCACTAAGATATGTCATGTTCGTTGCCACGGGTGGGGGAACAATTGTGCTAGCTAGAAACACTGCGCGGAGTTGCCATCACACATTACAACATTATTATGTCGGAGTATGGGTATACTCTCTGAAGGCCACTGTAGAAGCCTTTGAAGTTGTATACGTGATGCTTTTGTTTAAGGGATTCGTAATTTACTCTGGGTGGGCTGGTGGGCTGGGCTGAGGTGGGCTGCCGTCTTTAGTGGCAGCCATGCCGTCGCTGCCATGCCTGATGCCGCTGTCTGTGTCCGTCTCAGGCTGCTGAGGTGGGCTGCCGGCCGGGCGGCCGTCTCCAGGGTCGCCATGTCGCCGCCGGGCGTGCCCGAGCGCGTCGCGCGGCCGCTCATCGCCCCCGGCAGCGAGTTCCTCTGCGGCTGGGGCGCCGCCTTTATCAACATCACCATCACCTTCCCCATCAACAAGATCATGTTCCGGCAGGTGAGCCGGTGGTGTGCTGGCCGCGGTGCTATGGCTGGCTTCGTTTTGGTGTGGTGGTTACTCTTTCGAGTGATCCCAAATCAGTATCGCCAACAGCAGGGTGCGTTGATGTGGGCGCCATTAACTTTTACGCTTTTTGGAAGCCCAAGCATTCTGGATTGGTCAGCGGTCTCGGTAGATGCTGGCGTAGGTTCTGTACGAAATTGTCCTGCATATTCGGTTCCATACTGGTAGCTGACTGGGGTCAACCTCTCTATTGCTGGTTCAGCCATCATGCCACACTGTTTCAAACTTTGCACTGATTCTGGTCCAGCATCTACCGTTCCGGTAGAATTGCTGTTCTGTACTGGTCCAGCCTCTATCATACTGGTCAAGCCATGGCAGCGAATAGCCCAGTCTTTTCCGCACTCGTCCAGTACATGCCATATTGGTCGGTATTTGCCGTCTGCTCTAGCCATTGTAACATGCGGGTCTGGCGTGTGCGTCGCATCGGTTCTGGTGCGTCGCACCGGTTTGCACTCAGTTCTGGTCCTTGGGATAAATGTGAGAACCATTCCTTTTTCACCGACGTCTGACTATTTGCGCCTTGAAATACGCAGGTGTAGTCTCACGCAGAGGACAGATCGTGTGCGAGATACCAGCCCTCGTCTGACTTCTAGGGAACGCACGCATGACGCCGACTGAAGCGTGCGCACGTGTGGACATGGATATGGAATTTATCCATTCCAATTTGCCCCTAAAATGCACGGTTTTTACGTTTCACCATTGCAAATTTAATTTTCAGGTCAGGTTGTCCCTTCAGATTCCAGCTTAAACCCACCGATCCTGATCCCCCGTCGCCTCTCCCCCCCCCCCCCCCCTGCCCAGACACGTGGTTGAACTCATGCCTGTGGGTACTGGAGGTGTGCTGTGTTCCAGATGTTGCACGGGGTCAGCATGTGGTCAGCCCTGGGTCAACTGCGAAGCGAGGGTCTGCTGTTCCTGTACCGCGGCATCTTACCACCGCTCTTTCAGAAGACAATATCGGTCTCTGTAATGTTCGGTGAGTTTGGTGTTTGGTATTGGTGCCGGCCGCTGTCGCACTGCTGCGTTTTTTCCTCATCCGGTTTGGTCTCTGGCAGTGTTCTCATACCTGGCAGTGGTGTTCCGCAGAATTCCTACTGGGATGTGTTGGGGCATGCGGAGCCAGCAGCGTGTCATGTGTGGGCTGTGTGGACCATAGTTGTGATTTGTGATCATGTGATTGTGACTGTGATATGAGATCGCAGCAGTAAATCAAAGCGGCGCCTCGAGGCCGGGCAATGAGATCTAATAAGTTTCGTGTTTGATCGCTCGACGGCTCTGCCCGACTCTTCATAAAATAGCAACCCTGATGAACAGAATCCCTCACGAGCTCCTATGGCTGTCTTTGTATAAAGGTTAATGTGCTACAGCCATTCACGGTTTTTTACGCGCAACATATATCCATGAGAATGAATTTAACTGATCAAGGAAAACCTCATTTTTACGCTAATGATGGCCGTTCTTGAACTACGTTATGCGTGGAAGGAGGGAGCAAGAGCGTGACTGATGATTTGATGAAGCGTAAACAGCCTTTCAACAGAGCGACGATTTTTCGACATCATAACGTTACACTCAGGTGTGCTTGCAAATCATGCTGATATTGTATTAGCATCGTAACTGGGGAGGTGTTTCGTGCCCGGCGTTACCAACGCATAATCAGGCTGGGAGGGACTGAAAATGGCCTAAAATTTGCAATGTTTTGTGTGGGGCAACCCTATATCCCGGCACCACTGTCGGACTGGGGCCACACTTTGTGCGTCCCTGTGTAGGTCCAGTAAGAGACCCAGCCAGTGAGATCAGACCCCAGCCAGGTCAGACCGAGCCGACGTCTGCACGCGCCGTGTCGGTCCGGCGTGCCGGCGCTGACAGCCGGTGCTGCCGCGCAGGCATGTACGACCAGTACCAGCGTCAGCTGGAGGGCCGGCTGCCCCGGCTGGGCCGGCCGCTGGTTGACATGGGCGCCGCCGTGCTGGCCGGCGCCACCGAGGCGCTTCTCACGCCGTTCGAGCGCATCCAGATCCTGATGCAAGATCGGCACTACCACTCGCGCTACGCCAACACGTGGCACGCGGCGCGCGAGCTGCGCGTGCACGGGCTGGCCGAATACTACCGCGGCATGGTACCTATCCTGCTGCGCAACGGCGCCAGCAACGTGCTGTTCTTCGGGCTGCGCGAGCGGCTGAAGGCGGCGGCGCCGCACGGCGGCGGCCGCGCCTCGGCCGCCGCCTGGGACTTCACGTGCGGCGCCCTCATCGGCGCCTTCATCTCGACTGTGATGTACCCGCTGAACGTGATCAAGACGCACATGCAGAGCGGCGTGGGTGGCCCGTACCGGGGTATCGTCGAGACGCTTGGCGAGGTGTACCGAGCGCGCGGCCGCAGCGTGCGCGCCCTCTTCCGCGGCGTGCACGTCAACTACAACGCGCTCCCTCATCAGCTGGGGCATCATCAACAGCACGTACGAGCTTCTGAAGGGCTACATGCAGTGAGCGGCGGCTGTCGCCGGTGGTCAGTCCGTACGCGCACCGACCACGCTAGTCAGTGATTGTGGTCGGTGCCGAGGGTGCGGGCGGCTGCTGGTGACCGCGGCACCGCCAGGCGTGCCCCCCCCCCCCGCCCCCCCCCCCCCGTGCGACCCCCATCCCGAGCGGCGGCCGCCGACCCGCAGACGATTGTACTGGATTGTCTACACCTCAGCCCATGGTCGCCGGTGTGATTGTATGTGCGTGAGCGAAAGTGGTTTTACTGCGAGGATGATGTGAACTCGTAGAAAATAAATGTTTGTCAGTAACCGATGACGGCGCGCGTGCGCACATAGTGTCGATGATAGTCTCGCTGCTGTACCGCGGTGCCTTGTGATGGCGATGTGCAATACATCGGCACCTGTAGAGCCGTCTGAATATCATCCCGTCGAACCCCCTGCTCTTCCCGCCCCCTAGGAACCCCCTGCTCTTCCCCCCCCCCCCCCCCCACCGACTTGCGATGATTTGGCAAAGCCTTGGCCTAAGGTGGCTGGCTCGTGCATTCGTTTGAGTTGTGGTTATTTGAGTAAGAATTTCTCGTTAGTTCATGGGGAAAGAATACGAGCCTTGATAGCTCCAATCCAAGATTTCATTCTCATCGGCAGGCTCTGCGTGGCGCGACGGGGTCACAGCTGCCAGATGATCCGAGAAACGGTGATGTTCATCGTATCACCTGGATATTAATTTTTTCCTGACGCCCAAGGCAGAGAATGTCGGAGGGAAAGACATCAGTTGTTTCAAAAATCGCCTCACAGCGTGACCGTGTGCTCCGCAGCTCGTCTCCAAGGGTTCTCCGTCGAAGGTAACACGTGTCTTTTCTATGTCCGCCGTCGTGCTTGCTGTTACGTCACGGACGACAAATCAGTCGAGGCAGTTCACGCCTAGGACAGTCATACAGCCCCGGACATCGCCGGGCCACTCGTGTTAGTCCGATGGGATAACGGGGGGGCCGAGCTGAGTCTGACTATATTGCGTCTGGGCGCGCCGAGCACGACACGACAACGTCCGCACGGTCACGCCTGAGACGCACGTGCGGCTCCGCGGTAAACCAACAGCACATCCTCCCGGCAAGCATCCACAGTTACACCTGAGCCAGACAAGGTCAACATGGCACGACAACACATGGGAGGGGTCTTAGAGTCGAGGTGGGCACATACAGCGTAACAGACCACAGGAGCCTCACCTAAACACGCACAACCACACACATTACCGGCATGCCAACCCCCCCCCCCCCCATCCCCCACCTCGACATCATGTCATAACAGCCTACAGTGACGCCTCACGAGAGCCTCAGTTGGACGCGATCCACCACAGCGCGCCAGGTGACCTCGGCCTCCTCGGCGGCCCTCTGCCGTCCTCGCTCCAGCACTTGGCTCAGGTAGCGCGGCTCGGCCTCGAGCCGCGCCCAGGCGTCCCGCACCGGCGCCAGCCGCTCGGCCAGCACGTCGGCCAGCAGCAGCTTGTACTGGGCGGTGGTGAGGCCGGCGGCGGCGCTGCGCACGCCCTCCAGCGTCAGGCCGGCCGCCAGCGCGTGCAGCGTCATTAGGGCGGTGACTGCCGGCCGTTCCGGGCTGGCAAACACCTCCGACGTGAAGTCGGTGAGCGCTAGCTTCAGCTTGGAACGGATGCGCTCCGGCGGGTCGTTGAGGTAGACGCAGCTGCGCGAGTCCGGGTCCGACTTGGACATCTTGCGGCTGGGGTCGCGCAGGCTGCGCACCCGGCCGCCGGCGTCCTCTGCGGCACGGCCGGCCGGTCAGGGAAGCCGACTCGGGCACACGGACTCATCTCGGAGGTCGATCGGTGCACCTTGGGCTCAGGACGGACGCGAGATGTGGGCAATCGCGGCAATACCGCGCACGGTTCTCGAGTAACAACCCAAAAGGCATAGAAATGCCTTGTCAGAGACGTTCTGGTTCTCATCGCATCCTAGAGTGAACGATCGAATCTTAGCTGATCAGTTCACGACAGCACCAAATGCTACTACAATCGACTCACATACGTTTAGGAGTCAGGGGGCCTAGCATTTCAAACCGCTCAATCCACACTTATAGTGGATGTTCAACAAGCAACCACGGCGATGCAAGGTAAACTGACTTAAGAACTGTTTTTCAAACCTATTCCTTTTTAGAACAAGCCTAGGCCTCTGGATCTGCCAATGCTCTTACCATCGACGACAGCCTTGGGATGTGGGAAGAGTTTTCCGAATTGACGGTTGAAAGCCTTCCCCAGATGTTGAGCAAGCTGAATATTCTGTAGCTGGTCTTGACCGACTGGTACCTCAGTTTGCTCTGTCCAAGAGAAACCATTAGCCACTGGCGAAATAAAAAACAAATAAACCTCCAAACGGACTGCACGCATTGCTTTGGGGCACGAGGCACGAGTGTATGTCAAATTGTCGCGGGTGCAGTGAAGCCAACACTCAACCAGTACAGACCCAATTCAACGGATTAGGAGCATTGGGGACAGCCAAACGGCCTTCTGGTCAGACAACATTCCGATTGGGCACATCCGTGCTAGACACTGATACAACGCGTGTGGCAAGCCTGGATCCTCGCTCAGACGGTGGTTATAAGTAAACACCTTGATCAACTGAATCACCCTGACTGTGAAACACAGGCAAGACTCCAGCTCACAACGGAACTTCGCTTACACCAGTAAGAGGAAAATCATCAGCGGGTGGACAAACACAGACGGCGACGCCCATGGTGTTGGTCGCCCCACGCCTCACGCTTCTAACAACTCACAGCCCCGCGGCAGCCCACGGCAGCCGGCCCAGCGCTCCGACTCGACGTCTCCACCCGGCGCGGCCGCCCTCACCTGTAGAGCAGTATGTCGGCCGCCTGCAGCACCGGGTAGAGGTAGAGGCCGAGCGGCACCTCACCATGCTCAGCGGCCTTCTCGCGGTACTGCGGCAGCTGGCCCAGCCGCGGCATGGTGGTCAGGCAGGAGAGCACCCAGCCGAGCTGCGTGTGCTGCGGCACCGCCGACTGAAGGAACAGCGTGGCCCGCTCCGGGTCGATGCCGCACGCCAGCAGGCCGGCCGTCAGGCGGGTGATGTTGGCGCTCAGGTCCGCCCGCCGCTGCAGGCAGCGCGGCAAAAACCGTCCGTACGGCGGAGGAGGTCAAGTTGTCAACTAAATACTCGGGACGCAAAACGCCGTAGGTGAAATAAGAGGAGCATGAGTGCTATAGCCAATTCGGTGTCACCGTAAGATTTTTTTCATTTGAAGTACGGACACAGACAAAACATAGCAATGACAACCATACCTGAGGCACAGTGAGAGAGTGCAGATCCACTATGCAGAATATCAGCTCCTTGTCAGTCTCCTGCAGTTCGACCCATCTTTGGATTGCTCCGAAGTAGTTGCCCAGGTGGAGATTGCCCGTTGGCTGAACGCCCGAAAACACCCGGGAACTCCTCGCCTTTGTGTCATGCTGGAATCGCACATGCATATAAAATTTAAGCTTCAAAATCACCTGAAGAATGTGTAGTAATGAGCAAACCCCACGCCGAGTGAGTCTTAATGTCAGCTGTCCGGAAATTTTGTGACAGCCTTTTCTGGCCAGGCACGCTTATGACGGACTTTAAAACAGTGCAACTGCTGATCGTGCCGCCTTGCGGTTTTTCAGTCGCAAGTAGCATGGTTATTCACAGTTGTGCTATTTAGTGTTCCAGGTAATTCTATGTCAGCATACCACCAAGTACAGTTGTCTACAATGTGGATTATGACAACAAACCATACATCCCCCGTTTTGGGGCCGTCTTGGAGAAAAAGTTTCACATCTCGGAGGCCAAACCAGATTTGACATGAAGCCAGACGGGCAGTGTAGGCAAATGAGCCACATACAGATCACCAGCGCACCTTTATACTTTGCAATAAGTAGTGGCCCAAAACGAGTTCCCTCTTTGCATTTTTGGCAGTACCTGTGCCTGTCACTGAGCTTGCAAACAATCCTCAACTTCATTGCATGATGCTGATTCAAATGCCTGGTCATGTCAGGCCCAAAGGCAGCCAACAGCAGTAAATGTTTTTTTTTTTAGGTTGTGTGTAAATGCTACATGTAATTACACCTCTGGCTGTTATATCCATGGAAGAGAAACTTCTCAAACTATTTAAAACTCACATTTGTATGAGCTCCTCAAGATCAGAGGATTGATCTGTTTATGTTTTGCATCCCCTATTTGCAAATGGCAAAGATATTTCACATTTGCTATTGCCATGCTCATCCCAGGCCACAAAGGAGTCTTACTGATGTAAAGGATATAAGGACTTACATAAGGGCATGGGAACTGAGGGGGCAGTAGGGACAGCTCACTCACCCCCCACTTGGAGGATCCATGCTTGCATGTAAGGGGCCAATTCTGAATTCCAAAGAGACCATCAAAACCTGTTAAAGCCCAAGCTGACCTGCCAAGGGCTTATTCTGCCAATACAAGATCCATTTGGATCAAAGGAGAGCACTTCAGGGCCTGTGGAGGGCCTATTCTGACCTGTAGAAGGCCTATTATTGACTGTGGAGGGCACACTCTAGCCTGCAGAGGGCCAATATTGCCTGGAGGACCTATTCTAGCATGTCAAGGGCCAATTCTGGCCCAATTCTAGCCTTCAGAGAACCCATTTTGGCCACAAAAAAACATTATGACCTGTAAAGAGCCTGGTATGAGCTGTAGGGGTTTATTATTAACCATTGAGACCATGCCATGAAAGTCCACTCCAGCCTGTACATTGCTCGATGATGATGATGATTTGGGGTTTTAGGGCACATCGACTGCTGAAGGTCATACAGCGCCCATCCTGTACATTGCTCATTCTGACCTGTAGAGTGGGCCATTCGGCCTTGTACACAAACCCATTTAGTCTTATAGAAGCCCTATTCTTGGCTGTGGACTGCCAATTTTGGCCAGCAGAGAACCCATTCTGGCCTATAGAGGGCCCATTCCAACTTGTGAATGACCTAATACTGGGTGTGAAGGGTCAGTTATTGCATATACAGGGGCCATTTAAGTTGTCTTACTGACAGAGACCACTTTTCACTGTGATGAGCCCATCCCAACCTGCAGAGAGCCCATTCTGGTCTGTAGAGAGCCCATTCAGACCTTTAAATGGCACATTCTGATCTGTAAGGAGTCCATTCTGATCTACCAAGGGCCTGAAGCACTTGGTCTGCCATGTTTTTTCAACCTGGATGGAATGCGGTAATACTGTACCAGCTAGTGAGGTGTGAACAAAATATTCCTTTCAAGGCAGCCCATATGTAAAAGCATGTGAGTACAGCTTAAACCATCTTATTCTGATTGTACAACTATTCTTACCTTGATAGTTCTATTTCAACAGCACTTGCAGACACATTGAATGTCAATTATTGTCAGCATAGGAATCACAAACAAAACAAATCAAGAGCTCAAGGCCTTCCTTGCTTACATCAAGGGTGACATTTCTGGCAAAACACCACACTTGGATTTCTTGGAATGGAAGGGAACCGAAATGAACAAGCCGGGGCTAAGCTATCAACTTTTCACGTTACACCGAATAATCAGAGCACCAAGGCTACTTACCAAAAATCGGCGATGACATACAAGCGAACTTGACAGTCCGCAAATCTTTCTCAGGGTCATATCCGCCAAGGAATACCGTTCGCACGTTCGCGTGCGCAACTAACCGCACGCCAGCATTGAAATCAACAGCACAATCACCTTTGCGAACGCCCATAACTTTGCACGTACAACACATCCTCGAGAATATTTAGTACGTATTGGTGCTAAGAGGGGCAACGGTGTTTAGTACCGATACGTACTAAGAGTGGCTGCGTTTATTACGTATAGACACTAAACGGAGCAGCCCAGTAGCATATCTTTATGTGAATTTAGCAAAGAAATGTACAAAGTGACAAAGTACAAGGTGTACAGTGATAGGAAGTGATGCATAGGTTTTCTAACTGAAGCCATCATAACACAAAACATCTGCATCCAGTCAGAAAATTATAGTCTTGTTTCGCTGGGCACCTGCAAGACATCCATGCTTGGATCTTCACATTGTAATGTGAGACTTGAGCATGGCCAAATCACACTGAATATTCAAGTTATTGGTGTGTGAAGATTTTTTGGCATTTGTATATCTGAAACTACCTTGGTGATATCATGATTCCTTGAAACATTGGCTCTCTTACCATCAGAGTTGGTGGCACCTGTGTGCTAAAACTATCAGCTCTTGGATTTAGAGGGCATGTGCTGAAATTGTCCCCATGATGTCACTACTTAACTGTACATAATCTACCCTTACCCCAGACATGTCAAACATTTTGTGTATTTTGTGCACTCTGGGTTTATATTGATATTATTGTCTGTTACATTTAAATGATTTTCTCTCAGACATAACTAGTTGAATACATGTGCAATAAGATAGAGCATAACAGGACTATTTTCCAACATATTTATTTTTCAAGAAGCATAGTGCATTGAATTTTTGCTGATCATATTAAGTGAATGCAAGCAGTAATGACATCCATATGTCATAGTTTTGACCTATGTGCTTGAATAATGAAATATCACTGACTGCTATGAAATAGTGTTCTGGCCTTGGTTCACAAAAACTCAAGTTAAACATGCTCATGGCTCCAGCATGCTTTTAACATGCTTTCAAAGGAATACTTGTGGTCTTGCATGCCTACTTACAGCTTAGATGTAACCATTGGCTTGTAGACAGTAAAATAGGAGGCTTTCCAAATCTGTGCAGACACAGACAGTAGACACCAAAAACAAACAATCATTTCAGCCTCCCACATTCTAACACCTGATGCCTGGTACTAAAAGTTATGGCTACAGGAGATACAGATGGCTAAGCCAACAGATCTTGATGACCACAACCAGTCATGGGGTTAGAAATACATGTCCCAGGAGCATCAGGATAGTAGTACATCTTGCTACTGCATCCTAGCACCAGATACCCTGTGCATGGAAAGGATTGCCCAAAGTTTGATGACTAGGATGAAAGGTTTTGAAGTTTGGTGCAGAGTGTGAGGTTTTCAGGTGATTTGCTACAGGACATCAACACTCTGGTCATTGTTCCACCATCTGTGTGCCTCACATCAGCTGCACCAAGTTTGCGAAGAGTACTTGCAGCGGGCGTTTATGATAGGTCAAAGCATGCTGAGAAACTGTGGGAGACTTAAATGTTTTCAGGGCATTGAAATTTTAAAAAATGACAGCTTACAAACAGGGTCACTCTGAAATAGGTGGTCAGACACCAAGTCAGCCATGTTAAAGTCAGTTCTCTGTGTAGATTGCATATAATTTTGGGAGGACGCACACCGTGTTCTTCCAATGGCATCAGCTGATTTTCAAAAGATCATTGGACTGTTCTTTCTTGGCAGGACGACGTGATACACCATCTGGATGGTTTGCCACCCTGAGGGCGGAGGCTAGCCTCGCCATAGAGCCGACGCCAGGACCGTCCAGGAAGGCCGCCGAGACGCCAGCCCTTCAGCCCTTCACGGAGAACCCAATGGACCGAGTCGATGACGACAGCGATGGCGATGACTTTGTGGATCCCCTGTCACGTCAGATCGTTTGACCTGTCGGCGCCCGCGGTGGTCCGCAGCGGTGGTCCCCCCATCCTCCACCGCTTGTGGCTAATCCAACGGCCGGTGCGCACAACACCATGTCGGATCTCCTAGGCAAGATGCAGAAGTCCATTCTTCAAGATCTGGACGATCACCCTAAGCATGACACGACATCGCACATGGTGCTGTCGGCATTCATGACTAACGGGTGTGTCGCCACGTCCTCCGGCGCCCCCCCCCCCCCCCTGTCAGAGCCAGCTCTATGCGCAGGGTCAACTAGGTTGGCGGAAAAGCGTGGCCCGCCACATCCACACCCCGGCCGGAGAGGCGGAAGGCCTGTCCACTTCGTGGACGGTAGCATGTGCTCGCTGGTCGACCTCCAAACACCGGAAGGGATAATCACCCGTACCAGCGGTATCTGGGACAGCGTCGTGCCGCAGTGCCGCACAGTCTGCAGGACTGCTTCGAGCAAAATCGAGCGCTGGGTCGCAGAACGTGTCATGTCAAAATGAAGTCATGGAAGGGCGAGTTGGGTAGTTAAACAGACAACGCACCATAGAAATGTTCTCATGCAGGCTGTTTTCTCCCATTTCAGTGTTATGATCATTGCATGTTCATCAGATGCCTTGTCTTGGAAATATCCCGGCTTTTCAGTAAATGCCTATAGCTACAAGCTCAGGCTTAGTGGGACTTTACTATCTGAGGCCTTTTTAGTCGCTCCAAACGCAGAGTTTGAGGCGATGGTACGCATTTAAGTCTAAATGTGCCTGGGTAAGTGTGCAAGATATCTGGTGTGTGCATGTATTGAGGAATAGAGGTGGTGCACACAGGAACCTACAATGTTTATCATGGGGCGCCCAGCGGTTCCCTGCATGCCTGTTCCGGGTGCCGGCCGGCTCGGGCTGCTGCTGTGCGTAGGGCTGGGAAGGAGTCCGGTTTAACCTTGATCAGTCGTCATCTTCGTTGTGGCTATGGAAGCGGGGGTGGCTTGATGCGATGATGTGTGACGATGGTATCTGATGGTGTATTTGATGGTTTTATGATGACGATGTGTTTGCCGGCGGACGGGAAGCTGTACGCTGTGCCAGGTGCAGTCTCCTTTGTGGCTGCATAAACCACTTGGATAGCTTGTGAGTGTTGTTTTATTGTGTCTGTGAGAAGTCCTTTGGACGGAATGTGTTATGTCTGGTTTACGCGGAATGTGTCTAAACTGTCGTCGTTTCCTGCCTGCTAAGGTGTGTTCTGTCGATCTGAATGCACTTGCATGGCATACTGAGGCTGATGATCTCGTTCATATCACCGTCCACGATTTGTAGGTCTTCGAGTGTTTAGCCGGGATTATTGTATGAGGACCACTGTACCATTGCCATAAGAAGTCAATGACGACCGGTACAGTGTACCATCTCATTTAAAGGCCATGTCATTAAGAGAGTACAGTCGACGGGGTTCCAAGAAATGATGGGAGGTGTCAGTTGACGCAGCGCGAGACCGGTCTGCTCCAATTCGGATCCCATGCATTGGGTATTCTCGTGGGATCATGCGGGATTCCGGTTTTGCGTCGTTCTTTATACAAGTTACGACATGGAATAAACTAGCAATCTAGGCACCTGTATAATTAACATGGTTTAGGTCCCGTTGCTTTCAGAACGGACATCCAGGAGCGTGTGCAATGATTAATAATGTTTAGTGGTCATAGAATCCCATCAGAGCTTCGGTTTTGCTGAATTTGTTGAAAGCATTGAGCGCAGGACTGACCGACCTGGGGTACGGTAAACATGAGGTTTGAATGTACTAAATGAATGCAATTGAGTCTAAGTCCTGGTCTAAATGTTCATTCTCTCAATTGTTACATTGCATGCCCATTCTCTCCTTATGTGGGTGCCTAAGGTACATTTATGAGAGTACATTTGGGTTTCTATGCCTTTATGTTTTCCGTTGGTATCTGAGGACTGAGTGGAAAAAGCGAGTCAGAAGTTGATATGAGATCAAAGATATTTCATGGTCCAAAATCCTTCAAGGAGGACTGCATTCAGCGGGATTTTCATCAGCGTGACGTGCTATTTTGTAAAGATCCACGTCTTTACGGCAGAGTAAAGTGGAAGTGGGAGAAAGAGATGGGGCTGGGCATAAGATCGCTAGCTCAGCTGCGATTTGTCCGCGGCCCGATAAGTCCTCAGAGAGAGACCCTCAACGAAATGCGATCTTAAGGCGCTGGACCACGTGGCGATCTTATGACCATTGGACGGCTCTGTTGACGTCTAAACTGCTTACAAAAAAGAATGCATAGAAATAAAAGATAGAAGCAAACGCAAAATAGTTGGGGAAGTTTCGCTGCATTTTCATCTCTTTTATCCAATATATGCTCGACAACGTAGGTTTTAGTGGCCTCAGCTTTCCTGCTCCAAAACCTTGTTTCTCGTTGTTCTTGAAAGCTAGTTGTTGGGCTACGGTAAATATAAATGTATTTACAAAATGATATTATAAATATATTTCTCATCACCTCTGATATTTGGTAGGACAAAACATTTTTGCCAGAACATTGATAGCTGGGTGATTTCGCTCAGCACTATTTCTAACACCGCTGCTGGCGGTCACTGGGATACTCATGTATGAAGAAATATGCGCAGCCCGGTAACCCAAGGCTGGCCAGAGGAAGTGAGAGGAAAAATAATCCCGGCTAAACACTCGAAGACCTACAAATCGTGGACGGTGATATGAACGAGGTCATCAGCTTCAACATGCCATGCACGTGTATTCAGATCGACAGAACACACCTTAGCAGGCAGGAAACGACGACAGTTTAGACACATTCCGCGTAAACCAGACATAACGCATTCCGTCCAAAGGACTTCTCACAGACACAGTAAAACAACATTCACAAGCTATCCAAGTGGTTTATGCAGCCACAAAGGAGACTGCACCTAGCACAGCGTACAGCTTCCCGTCCGCAAGCAAACGCATCGTCATCACAAAACCATCAAATACACCATCAGATACCATCGTCACACATCATCGCATCAAGCCACCCCCGCTTCCATAGCCACAACGAAGATGACGACTGATCAAGGTTAAACCGGACTCCTTCCCAGCCCTACGCACAGCAGCAGCCCGAGCCGGCCGGCACCCGGAACAGGCATGCAGGGAACGGCTGGGCGCCCC